AATTTCTGGATCTGGAAAGCTGAGAAGACTCCTTGTCTATAATATCATCCTTTGTGGACCAACCTAAGGTATGAATTAGCTTCTTTTCTCTTATTTAAATTTCCTTTAAATCAGTTCCCAATTTTCTAGTTTTGGCTTACTCTAGGCTATTTTTTTTTTATTAGTTCTAATATTTTAGTAATACAAGGTTGCTGCTACAACTTTCAAGAAGTCACACAGTCTAAGAGCATCGTGACTCAAAGTCAGGAGACATGCATTTTCTTGCTGGCTGTTTTGCTTACTAACTATCCCAAGCCTGTTTCCCAAGGTCTCTGTAAACATGAGATAAAGGATCCATCACAGAGGCCTAATTGCACCATCTCAGATGCATCAGTACAGGCCAGAGTTGCTGTTATCCTTAGAGAGATGTTTCCTACTTAGATGGGGTTTGGGAGCAGAGTGTATGTTTCCTCTATGCTGGTCAGTACTAGCACACTAGCACAGCTAACAGCGCCCTCCCCTTATGCACCTGGGTTGCAGAAAGCCTCCACCAAGTTTCTAAGTTCTAATTATCCCAACTTCTTCCTTACTTCTCCAGTTCTAAGGATTGTGCAGAAAACACTTAGGCTTTTACTGTCCCTTGAAAGACAAGCTTGTAAGGCTGGTCTGTTGGCTGGCATTTGGAAATTGGATTTTGGAGGCTCCCCAAAATTTCCAGAACTGATAAAACTTTCAGGATGACTAAATTATGAAAGCAATATGGTTTAAACTGAATACTAGCTTTCCTTGAGAAGTCTGAAATTTGAGTATGTACTGTACTAGGTAGAGGGTTCCTATCTGATCAGTCCCAGGAAAAACCCTTGGCACTGAGTCTTTCATGAGTTTCTGTGATTGGCAACTGATATTTCACACATCAAAACTTCTTGCTGTATAATTAATCACACTGGCCCTCCCTGGTAGCCCAGTGGGTTAAAGTGCAGCACTGCAAGTGAGCGGCAGCTGCTTCAATGTGAGCTCGATCCCTGGCCCTGAAGACCACATGGCGCAGCAGACCTCTCCTATCTCCCGCACTGCTCCCCTAAGCAGTATACTTCATCAATTTGCCTGTTCTGCTTCCCACTCTGTCTGTCTCTGGTGAATCCTCTCATCACTCCTGCACCTCTGCCCTGTGCTCCAGTTCTGTATGCATAAATAAAATCTTAAAAAAAAAAATCACATTTTGTGTGACTCCACAACTTCACTGGGAAAAAGACCCTTGGAAATTTGTACTTGATTTCCCCAAGACATGTTACATGCTCCTTTCATTTATTTACTTTTTGTCATCTTAGTTCTCCAATTTTTTTTTAAATAAATAAATCTTTAAAACTAAAACAGATACTTAAAATAGCAATAAATTCATGTCTTGTTCCTAATTGATGTAGCCTGTCAGTAAAGGCAAACTGTCTAGTTAATCCTCTTTGATAACATAATTTTTATCAAAAACTAACATCTACAATAGCATCAATCTCTTATAACTCAGTTCCTGATTCACTGAAAGGTACTCAACCAAATACTTTATAAAAAGATAATCCCTGCATGAACTCACTAGTCTTGGGGTAATTACCCTAGTGATTAAAAAGACGCCAGTAATGAAATTATGTTAACTTTAAAAACTTCATTAATAAGGCTACCCTGTTGGCACAAGGGGTCAAGTCCCAGCACTATGCACACTGCAGCATGAGTTCTAACCCAGACAGGAAGATAACCTGGCACAGCATTCCTATCTTGCCTGCTGCTCCTCTCAGCAATGTATTTCAGTAGACCTGCCTGTTCTGCTCCCTACTCTCTCTGGTGAATCCTCACACACATGTGCATACATTCTCCCCACACCCCTCTCCCCTCTGCTCTTGTATGTATAAGTAAAAAATTTTTTAATTTTTTCCTTTATTTCAGAAAAATAATTGTAAGTGATGTCTAGGCAAAGTCTTCTTGGTAGTTAACATTCATTCTGTATTTGCTTTCACTGGAGATTTAATTAAGAACAGTATTAATAAAAGTCATAGTCATCTCTATTTTCTGGAAACCTTCCTGGTTAAGTTTAATCTATACTCAGGGTTCTGAAGAGTGAACAAAATATCAAACAAAGTGTGATTCTAAATGAATCAATCAGAAGATTTCAAACCCACAAAATTATAACATTATTATAAACCCCATGAACTCATCATCTAGTTCAATTATCAACAAATGATCTATTTTGTTTCATCTATTCCACTTTCCTACATCCACTGGATTATTTTTAAAGCAGATCATGTTATATGTAAATGCTTGACTCTCTGAGATAACCATTTAAGTAACATGTACACAAAAAAACATTAATTCCTTAAAAATCATGCAATATCCAGTTGTCATATTTTCCAATTATATGTATGTGTATTTTTGTATTGTTTGTATAAAATGAAATCCAAATAATACCTCTTAAATCTTTAAAATCTGCAACCTCCTTTCTCCTCAAGGAAAACTCACATTTATTTGTTGAAGAAACTGGCTCATTTCCAAGATTCTGTTATTTGGCAAATTGTATCCCTTTGGTGTCATTTAACATGTTTTTCTCTCCTCTGACTAAACTGACATATGTCAAAGCTTGACCAGATTCAATTATTTTGACAATATTTAAATATATCTCAAATATATATTTTTGATGACATAATTGGTTTGTACAATAAAATACTGCTTCCCACATGAATCTGCTGTTTTAACTAACTATCATTCTTTCCATATTATGTAGACAGAACTTTTAACCCTCAATTTATGGAAGCACTGTGATCTTCTACAACTGAACTGGAATTTAGTATTAAGCAGGAAGTTAAGTCTACTGCTTGAACTCTGCCGCTTGATGGAGCAGAAAGTTCCTGCTGTGTGCTGCTTGCCCACAGTAGTAGCTATGGCTACCTATACCCTCTTCCCAAACAATAACGTCTATGATGGATGGTGTAACAAGCTGCCACATAAAAAAGGTATAAAACCATCCCAGCAATTCAGAGCTCAGATTTTTGGGAGCTTTCCCAGGGAGCCCAACAGTGCGACAATTAAATCTCTCTTTACCTCCCTCAATGCCATCTAATTTTTCTGGTAAACTGCTGCAACAGTATCACTTTAAGTTTATAACTTTTTTTTTTTTTTTGCTGGGAAGTCAAATAACTATTATACACTGTCATCTATTACAAAGCTTCGTTTATTTGCTTTAAAATTTTTTTTTATTGGGAAACTATTCCAATGGTTGACCCAATTCAGTAGGTATTTTCAAGTGTCTGAAATGATAAAATATTTGGTGAGTTTAGTAATTAAAAATGGGCCTTAAGTACATAGGTACATCATGTATTGCACTAAAAATATGTTTAACAGACCTCCTAATTAACAATACCTTAGCAAGTGCCAACATTTTATAGGCACTTGGTAACCACTGTGGTTTATGAACAGTGCAATAATATGATGAATGCGTATTTTAGAGGAAAATGCTTCTGGAATGCTTAAGATTTAAAATAAAAAGAGCATGGATTGTGTATTTGAAGATAACGTAACAAGGAATTGTTTGGATGAAGCTACAGACCACATCAATCAATAAGGACACCTGTGTTAAACTGAAAGGCGTTTGACAAACACTCTAGCTAGAGATTTCAACTCCAATAAGGTAAAGGATGATGGCAGCAACCAAAACGGGTAGAAAATAGCCATATATATACATAGCAGCTAGAATATTTTTGTAAATGTAAATTAGATCAAGTCATTATTGTCCTCATCTGAAAATGAGTCATTTCCCACTTAGAATAAAATGCAAATGTGTTGCCATGGCCTCACAGACACTATGATAAAGTTTTCACTACCTCTCACCTATTTCTTACCGTGCTCATCCTTCCTGGGCTCCAAAGTTCTTGCTCTTCATAAAACAAGACAACACTGGCACTTGTTCCCTCTACCTGGTTACTTTCTTCACAAATATTCATACTTCTCTTCCTCACTTTACTTAGGCCTTTGCTACGTATCACCTCCTCAAAAACTCAACAAACCACTTGTATAAAAGGCCACTGCTGTCTTTACCCTGCTTTACAGTTTTCTTAGCTCAGATTATCTAACATTGTATTACATTCTAATTAATTGACTTCCCCCACTAGAATATAAACTCAGTGACGTCGCCTAAAACAGCAAAGTGTATGGTATTTGATTACATTTAATCAGTGATCTCAGTTCCTGTCAAAACTTTATGCAGCGGGTACTATTGCTGTACACACATTATGATTTACATAAACTATGACATAGAAAGGTTAAATAAAGACCTTAGGGAAAATGTCCGGACTTAATGACTGCTACTTGAAATGGACACATCAAAGCAAAACTGTCTGGTTTGTAAGGAAAAAGAGAAATCCAAACAACACACGAACGGCAATTAAAATGTTGGTCACGGAAGAAGCAAATGGAACTTAGTGTCTTCCCCTAAGCACATGACCTTATGCTGCCCTCACAACCACCCCAGAGGAGATGCACAATGCACAGCAGGGACTGTATTAGACAAGCATTAACTGCAAGCTTCTGATCGCCAGACTCCACATCCAGGAGCGACGGTGGGACCCGCCCAGCACTTACCGGTTTGGACAGTTACATAATTAACACCCAGAACCTCGGGCTTCCTCCGGCTCCAGGGCCGGATTCACGTGCGGGGCCTCACGACCGGAAACTGCACCCAAGAGACCAGGCACTAACCGCAGGCGAGTCCCCGGAAGTGTCCCAGCGCGGGAGGTGGGGTGAATGGTCACCGTGAGTTCGGCGTAAGGCGCCCCGGCGCGAGGCCGACACCAGAAGCAAGCCAGCGGACGGGGGTGTGTCCACGCGGTCCCTGCGCACTCTCTGATTGGCCGGTAGGATGACGACTGCGTTTACAGTCGGGCCTACGGCAAGCAGAGCGTACGTCCACTGCGTAATCTAGTCGAGAAGGAGGGGCGTGGCTGGCAATACAGGAGGCCCGCCGATTGGCTGCAGGCGCGGGAGCCGAACCGGCCGGTCCCGAACAGGGCGGCGCCGAGAGTCTGGACGCTGAGGTGGCGACCGGCTTCAGTGAGAAGATAATGGCAGCTCGCGCCGGTCCCAGGATCCTGAGAAAAGTGGCCTCAGGGTGCCGTCCGAAGTCTGCTACAGCGGCCGGAGTCCCGTGTCCGGTGCACCTGAACGTCAGGTAATAAACGACTGCGACGCCGCGACGAGGGAAATTTCTGGCCGGGGCTGGCTGAGTGGACAACCCGGGGGGTTTTGTGAAGAGGAGCCGGAGCGGATACGTTTCCGCGTCCCTGGGAGTAAAGGGTCTCCTGCTTTGGGCAGTCGAGGGACTCAGTCGGCGCGCCATCAGCCCGGACGGGAGGCTCGCCGGTGTGTCTGGGCCCCCTGTCTGTGTTTGCTGCCCTGCCCTCGCCAGAGTAGGTGAATCGTCGGCGGAGCGATTTTGGAAACTGTTGATAAAGCTACTAGGGGACCGGTGCCTTTGGGTCCTTCCGGTCTCTTCTCCTACGGCCTGCTGCTACTGTGGAAAAGTGTTAACTGTTTGCAAAGGTTTGACTGCTGGCATGTGAAGTTAGTCGCCAGGCAATGAGCCCCTTCTTTTCCTTGGTGCCAGCTTGCCAGACGTGTTTTCCCAGTTTCAGCTAGAGAGGTCTTTGCATCTGTCCTTTGGTGCTTGCAAAGTTAAACAAGCTGATTTGGGGGCTTGGTTTTGTTTTGTTTTGTTTTGTTTTTCCCATTAGACGTCCTGTAATCTTGAACTAGAGTCTACATTAGATTTTCCTGTTTGGGTTCCCTTTTGGTGGATGGAGGGTAGGATGGAGGCAGACATAAAGGATTCCATGATTCCACTACCTAACTTTCGTTTCATAATGACAGTATAATAAACTATGTTCGACATTTTCAGCTTGTATCTAAAAGTATTGTTATAGATAGTACGTCAGAGCACCAATCTGGTAATTTAACTGTATTTAAATTTAGTGAAGAATTAAAAAATTACCAACAACTAGCAAACTCCAAATCCTATTGACATAGTGAATGAAACTGAAATAAAACCATCTCCTATCATTTATTCCGACTGTAGGAAATAATATGAAAAAGTGGTTCCAAGTGGAGCATATACTCTATCATATTTTAGATCTGCTTGTATTACTTTTATAAAATATTGGTTACAAGTAAACAAAGCTGTTAAATTTGAGGAAAACAAGTAGCTTTTCATCAAATTAAAGTTTTAAGATAAATATCCTTAGTTACAATGAAGAAGGGAGTTTATGTAAATTTACTGACAGTCTGAAGCATTAACATAAATTTCTGACTTTTATTATAGCGGTATTTCAGTTAGTACAGTATATTAGATTATTAGCAACAAGCTGTCCTTCTGGTCCAGTACTCACCTTATGATGTACATACCATAAATACATCCATATGTTATGTGTGTGTGTACAAGCAATTGATAGTGTATGAGAAAAGATGTGCTTTTAGGGTTTTGTAAACATAGCATGCAAATTGATCAGGAGAATTCTTGGCTTCTTTAAACAGAAGTATTACTTTTAGGATTGTAATCAGACTGTGAAAGGGTTTCTTTTTGGGGAGTCTGCAGTACATACATCTGCGACAAAATTCCAAGTGTACAATGAAAAACTTCCTAGTCAGCCAGACTAGGCAGAGAGGATCTTATGCTTTTTTTTTTTTTTTTTT